GTTGTAATTCTAATTTTTATACCTGATATTTGTTCTTATTGTATATAGTTTTATATTAGACTTAGAACTCTTCTATTTTAGACAAAAAGGGGAGGTACTATGGGAGCTCCTTCAGCCAATAGCCCTTAAGACCCTGGCTCACTCTGGGCGTGGCCGCATGTACTCTATATACAGACGTAAAACATGCATGGCCCCTTGACTGCTGGGTTGGGTTCCTGTTCCTCACTTGTGCATAGGACTGCTGATCTGTGAGTCTGTAATGTGGGAATGGTTTCTTATTAATAAAGAAACTGCCTTGGCCCATTTTATTGGATAGAAAATTAGGTAGGTGGAGTATACAGAAGAGAATTCTGGGAGAAAGAAGATTAGAGGAGGAGTCGCCATGGTTCTCCCGTTCCAGACAGACGCAGGTTAAGATCCTCCCTGGTAAGCCAGCTCGTGGGCTACACAGAATATTAAAAATGGGTTAGAACAATATGTAAGAGCTAGCCATAAGGAACTGGAACTATCCGGGCCAGGCAGTGTTTGAAAGAATACAGTTTCCGTGTAATTATTTCTGGGTATAAACTAGCCATGCGGGCGGCCGGGTGCCGGGGACGCAGCCCTGTCGCTCCTATCTCCATATTTCAACAAGTCTGCCCCTAAATAAAGAGGTTTTTATTACACTCCATTCTGAGCTCGTGTGGGACTACTGCATTGTAATCAAGAACAATAAGGCTTGTTTTTAATATATCTACATGACATGTACAACAAAGACCTCTGGGTAAAAACAACAGAACACAGTTTAAAGGGCATAACACAAAGAGAACAGGGAACTAGAGAGGTGGCTTGGTTGTTAAAAATGCATATTGCTCCTGCAAAGAACCCAAGTTCACTTTCCATATCCACATTGTGGCAGCTTACAACTGCCTGTAGCTCAAACTCCAGGGATGCTCTCCTATCCCCTCTGTGGGCACCTGAATTCATGTGCCCACATCACACACAGACACATCATTTGAAAAATAATAATGAATAAATTTCTTTTTAAAGAGAGAAAGAAAAGTTGGCCGGACTGCCAGTTGTCATAAGAACTTTGTGGCCCCTGAAGTAGGTGGAAGGCACGAGAAAGTCTTACTCATCCCATATCTGCAACCAAAGAATGGGCAACACATAGCCCTGCGGCCTCGCCACTCAGTTTATGCTAAAAGCAGTAGGAGCAATTAAGTTACTTGCCTGTTCCAGACCTTTCTGCAGGCAGGAGGAATGTAGATACTCTAGGAAGCACTCGGACCTTTAGTTTACAACATGTCCCCCTTGTTACTGTGGGTAGGACATGGTCAGGGTGTGGATTCGCATTCGGAGCCACCATGGTCAGGGGTGTGGATTTGCACTCGGAGCCACCATGGCCAGGGGTGTGAATTCACATTAGGAGCCATCATGGCCAGGGGTGTGGATTCGCACTCGGAACCACCATGGTCAGGGGTGTGGATTCGCATTCAGAATCATCATGGTCAGGGGTGTGGATTCGCATTCGGAGCCACCACGGGATGAAAACTGGCAGCACTTAAGCCTGATTGGAAGGCCTCAGTCCCACTCCTCAGTTAAAAGGAGGCCACTCGCTCTTTCTTTTCCTCTGGACTTGAACATGCTGAGAGAAACAGACTCCACAGAAGCCACCTGGGCCTTTGTCTGGTGAATTTATATGTTTTAAAGCCGAATCTGCCACATGTGGGGATTTTTTTAACCTCTACCAGGTTTTAAGCAGAGCCGAGAGGTCTCAGACACACACAAGGCTTATGTGGCACCAGTAGGAGCGCGGGCTGGGACAAGTGAAGGTCTGAATGACAGCTCAACAAAGGCAAAGAGAGGAAACTCAGAAAACCGTGAACGAACAATAGTAAACACTTATATGCAGCAGGGCACTCAGGGGCACGCCCTTCCCAGGTGTACTCAGAGATATGTGTTTATACAAAACACTTGAGTCTCCTGGGTCTTCAACATGAGCGTGGCTGGGCTGAAGCGACGGCCCAGCAGCTAAGAGCATCCATTGCCTTGCAGAAGACCCAGGTGCAGACTCAGGTTCAGTGCCCAGCACCCACGTGGTGGCTCACGACCATCCATAACTCTAGTCCAAGGGTTGTAAAGCCCCCTTCTGCCTCTACGGGCACCAGGCACGCCATACACACATGGTGGTCAAACACTCATTTACATAAAAAAACAAACGGATCTAATAGTGGATTTCCTTTAATGTGCACGGCCTTCAGTCAAGTGCTTCCTGTCACAGGAATCTACTCTAAGAAAATGATTAGCGGTGTAAGGACGGCTAAGATGCAGGTTCCCATGGAAACATTGTTTGTAACCGAAAATGCTGAGAAGAACTATAATCTCTAACAAATAAGGGAATGGATTTTCGGTTAGGACGGAATTTTATGAAGCTATAAAATCTGGATACAGACATGACTTCACGGGCAGAGGAACACATGAAGGTGGATGCTAAGTGCCGTTGATGTTTTCTGAGCACCTGTCCACGACAGGTGGAGCTCGTTAGGCAGACACAGGCTTTTTACCTCAGGAAGCTGATGACTGACAAGCAAGGTCAGTGGTTAGGGAAGCGTTGAGGGAAGCCATGATACCGAAGAGAGGCGTAAGGTACTGGGCGTGGGTGGCAAAGGGATCTGAGCGTGGAGAAGCCACACGAGACTCCGCTAAGGCACTGATGCGTGAGTCATAATGAAGGGTGGAGAGGAGCTGGGCGGAATGGAGAGGGGAAAGAAAAATATTCCAGATTAACAGCAGTTTTTCAATACATGTGTATTAAAGCATGGCTATTCAAGCATATGTGAAGCCACTTGTTTTGAAAGCTATGTTGCATACGTACGTGTCCATCAATAGAACATCTGAAAGAATGGTCACCCAAATGCAGTAGTGCACGGGTTTATTTTAATTTTACTTTATGCTTGCTCCCATTTTCTGATCTTTATATCTGTAATCAATGCATGTAGAGGTATCTGGATGGGCAGGAGGAAGGGTGGATAAAAGATGAAGGGATGGACAGTCACCAGGTCATGTGGAGGGCTTAGGCAGGGAGATTTGTTCCTCCTGGTCCTCTCCTCCCTTCCGTTACGGCCAAGATCTGTCCTAGGAGCACACACGCCCACAACTGTGTCTGTCCTCCAAGGCATTTCTGCTACCCACAGGCCTGTTTGTTGGAGCCAACAGTTCAGTTTATTATATTTCTGAGCCGATTCCTCTGTCAGTGCTGAATTTACAAAAACCATGCATACAAAGAGTGCCTGGCTAAGCTGCATGTTGAAACTGTAGCCAAATAACTATTGGAGAAAGATAAATTCTTCCAAAATGACTAGCTGCAGGTGAAGGAAAGAGGCGGAAGGAAATAAGACCCTTGTGGCTAGAGTTTGAGGCCACTCTAAAGAGAGGACGGTAAGAGCCCCAGGTGGTGAGCACAGCTGCTCTGAGAGAGGACGGTGAGAGCCCCAGATGGTGAGCACAGCTGCTCTGAGAGAGGACAGTGAGATCCCCAGGTGGTGAGCACAGCTGCTCTAAGGGAGGACGGTGAGATCCCCAGGTGGTGAGCACAGCTGCTCTGAAGGGAGGACAGCTGACATCCCCAGGTAGTGAACACAGTTGGTTTCCCACACTATATAGTAAAAACCCTGCCCTGACTCAAGTGACACAGGACACCTGGCCAACTTCAGCAGGTACCGAACTCCAAACTGAGACCAACCCCTTCGTGCAATGAGCCAGGGGATTCTTACAGAACAACACCAAGGCCCTGCCAACAACCGTGTCACTCCTGCCCAGCTGTCCACCACAGTAGAGAAAACGAGACGTGACAGAGGGAAAAGGTCTGCGTCCACTGCTCTGCAAGCTCAGGCTCTCTTCCTCCCTGCACTCGTCCACCGTCTTCTGTAGAGGGCAGGGTGGACCCAACGCTGACAAGACGGGTCTCCCGAGCACCTAAAGCTCACAATTAAGCAGGTGGCACTTCAGTCACACATTAACAAAATACTTGTGCCCTGCTATGAGCATTTAAGATAGGGTGACAAACGGATCAAATAAGAGTCCCATCTTCACAAGAAATGAGGAGACAGGTTTAAAAAAAAAAAAAAACAGATGGCTATAGTTTAGTCTTAAAAAAATAGTTATGACATAGGATGGAAAGAGCCTTGGTGTGGAGCTAAGACAACAACAAGAAGGGCCTTTTCTGAGGGGATACGTGTGCAAGATGAGAAGCACCAGTTACACGAGGGCACAAGTGTCGCAGACACCAGGGCACAGCCCAGATAGATGTAAGAGGATGGGTGCCACACTCAGGGCAAGCCCAGGCCACTTAGGAAGCATGTGGTAGGGACACCTGAGCAGGCTGGATGTCTCACAGGCCCAGATGGCACCCTCCGACAGCAGTCATACAGTACAAGGGGGCGTCGCAGACGGGCAGCTCAGCCTATGGGATCAAGGACTCAGCCCAGGCGTAACTATGGGAGATCCTTAGGCAAGCCGACCTGTTCCCTGCCATCTTGGCAAAGGTGCTGGAGTTGTGGCAGACCCTGGGGGTTCCTCTACCATCACCAGATGTCCACACCTTCAGAGAGATTACACGAGACCCCTGATTCACGCCTGGGAGAAATGACCAGAACAGTCCCTGGGGGCGAGCAGTGGCCCAGGTATGAAGAAGCCACGCCCTTTTCACTGGAATGTTCTCCGCCTTGGCCCTCAGCAGGCGCAGCAGACAGCCAGAGGTCTACACTGTGGATGACATTCCCCCACGGCTGTGATGCTGAGACTCATGAGTCCTTTGATTCTATCTTTGTTCCCGGTGGGGGCCTGAAGATTACATGTCCCTCTGACCTGGCTGAGGCTGAGGCCCCCTCAGGTTCTCCATGTACAAAGCTCAGAACACAGCCGCTCTTCGTGCCTCTCCCCCGCCCCTCGTCCTGCTCCCCCACCGCCTGCAGCCGCCCTCAGCGTCCTCCTTAGGTTGCTGCGCGCCCTGGCCATACCTGTAAACATCGCACAGAAGTAAGGGCTGCAGGCCGCCAGGACCACACGGTGGGCTTCTATCTCCACGTCTTCTGCCACAATCATCACGTCACACAGCAGCTGCTTACTGCAAGACACCAGTGAGGTGACAGAAAAGGTCACAGCGTGGACACCCACCCCTGTCCCACCCGGTTCACACGCTGCCCATATAGAGGGCAGGCACAGAGACTGTCTCTGTCTCGACACAGGCAGGGAAGAGGGCTCAATGATGTTGTCTCAGTGAGATGCCCAACACTGACCTCTTGGCCTCCACACATGTGCACACATGTGAACACACACACCAGAATCTTGCAACTATCTTCTTACGTGGCTGTCACCAACGTGCCACCATGAACTTGTAAACGGGCTTAGCATATTGCATCTTGGACCCTGGACACTAGGCTGCATACCTGCCACATAATAGACCCTACACCATTTCAAACAAACAAATATATGGAAATAATCAATACGCATTCATCGACAGGATGGGTAATTGAGAACTGGGCTTGGTGGCACAAGCCTGTAATCCTGGCTACTCAGGAGACTGAGGCAGGAGGATCTCGTGTTCAAGGCTACGGAGTACGTTCAAGGCTGGCCTAGGCAATTTAATAAGACCCTGTCTCAAAACAAAAGGTAAAATAGGCCTTGGGGTATAGGCAGTGGAGGAGAACCTGCCTAGTATATGTAAGATTCTGGGTTCAGTGGAGCTGGATCCCCAACACCTCAAAAAAGACCAAAAAAACAAAGGATATTTGAGCACCTTAGGGTGCCACAGGACCTAGCCAATCCCAGACCTTCTCCATCAGCCTTCCAGGTCCTTACCTCACCTTTCACTATTGTCACGACAGCATTTGCTGAGTGAGGGATTGCCAACCACTTGTCTAAGTGCTCCCCGCAGCCTAACACCATTTCATATAATCCTCTCTACAACAAACTCACTGAAGTGAGGCTAATTGTTATGCCTGCATCCTGCAACGAGGGAACAGAGGCCCAAAGAAACCAATAAGTTCCTCACAGGCCCACAAGAAAGTAGAGATGGGATTCAAAGGCACGTAACTGAATCCCAAGCTCCTTCTGTGGTACCCTGATCACCACTAGCTTCTTTCTTAAAATGCTAGCAACAGGTGAGAGGCAAGGAAGACAAGGGCATCTGGGTTTGCTCACGGGTAAGGAAGGCAAGCTCGTCTCAGCTTGCTCTTGTCTGAGGATGCTGGATCAATGAGTCTGTTGTGGCTGACGGGTGGAAGAGAAGTTGAGCACCTGCTATCTCTGGAGTGGCACACTTAGTCACTGCCAATACCAATGCACTGTTGAAGTTTCTCTCAGAGAAACAGAACCATAAAGCCTGAGCCCACAAGACCTGCAGACGCGCTCCCTGGCCTTGGATAGCATCTGGCCTCTGAAACTCAAAGAAGGGAAGAGATGCCCAAATCAGAAGACTGAACCCTGAATACAGTTCTCTAGACTAAATACAGTGCCTTCTCCGAAGTATCCCCAGGCTTCATCACTGGCTGGCACTTAGGGCCAGAAAAGACAAGGAATGGAGGGCTGGTGGTGGGGCTTCTGGGATGGGTAAGACCTTTGGGAACTAAGAAGCCAAGACCATTGGACCTCATTCTACAGCAGGCGGCACCAACGGGAACAGAACTGACTCTGCCATAATAGCCACAAGAGCACAAGCAAGCAAGCCTGCACCGTTTTCTTGATTGTCTCAACTGGGAAAAACACTATGCCGCCCAGTTTTGAGACAACTTGGGTAAAATGGTGAGACTCTTGTCTAAAAATACTGAGCAAGAACCAAGCCCCCAAAAGAATTCACTAACATAAAAGCAGCCACTGTGATGGTATCTCAATTGTCAAAGGCCCAGGATGGCCTGGGACGCGGCTGTAGGCACGCCTATAGAGGATTGTCTTGGTTAGGTTAACTGAGATGGAAAAACCTGTTCTCCGTGAGCGGTGCCATTCCCTAGGCTGGGATTCTGGCCTGCATATACAGGAGGAAACGAGCTGAGCGCCATCATCCATGGTTCCCCATTCTTGACTGAGAATACAATGTAACCATCTGCCTCAAGTTCCTGGGGCTGTGACCCCCCCCAACTAATGGGCATAGCCTCAGACTGAACCCAAATAGACCTGTTGTCCTTTCGTTGCCCTTGCCGGGCATTTTATCACAGCACAGAAACAGTCGCTCAGGCAGCTGTACAGATCCACAGAAAAGAGTTAGAAGGCCATAAAAACAGGCTTTTGCTACTGTTTAATGTATTTTATGACATTTATGGTCAATTAACTTATGAGAGGGTGCATGTTTGTATATATGTACATGCGTGTACAGGTGCACACACATGTGTGCACATGCATGTGGAGGCCTGAGGTCGATGTCAGGTGTCTTCTTCATTTTCCATCTCATTTTTCAAGTTTGTTACATTTCATGTTTTACTGGGGTGGGGGACACGCCAAGGCAAGTGTATGTACATTTGAAGGTCATGCCATAACAAGCATATATGTGCATGTGAAGGTCATACCATGGTAAACATGGTTTGTAAAGGTCATGCCATGGCAAGCATTGTATTGTCTAAGGTCATGCCAAGGCAAGCATGTGTGTGTGAAGGTCATGCCATAGCGAGTATGTGTGTGTTGTGTGAAGATCATGCAGCGTGAATGAACCACCAGGGCAGCGTGGCCTCGTACTCCCAGAACCCCATCACTCTGGAGATGGAGGCAAGAGGTCCAGAAACTTGAGTCTAGCCTCGGCTACAAAAGTCAAAAACCCAAAAATAGAACTGGAAGATGGCTTAGTGGGTAAAGTGTTTATCTTGCAAGCAGGTCCTCAGTCCCCTAAACCCACATCACAAAATTAAAAAAGCAAAAAGCTAGGTGTGGGGGACTCACATTTGTAATCCCAAGCAAATCTCTCTGGAGCCCGCTGGTCAGCTAGCCTGGTCTACTAGGTGAATTCCGGGTCACTGGGACCCTATCTTTAAAAGAGCTGAGTGGCTCCTGAGGAAGGACAGCCTGAAGTTGTCTTCTGGCCTCTAAATGCACATACACACATATGCATGTGCACGTTACGTGCTTGCACCCACACACACGTGCACACATGCAAGTAATAGTCATTTTTCAAGAGGGCATAGAACAATCTGTAGCCATGCAGAGGGTGCTAAAAAGCAACAAGGCGCCGGGGTACAGCTCACTGAAAGGACGCAACCCTCAGCAAGGCCAACCAACCTTCAGCAGAGAGACAGAGAGAATGTTAAACACAGACTGGAGCCTCCACGCTTCCCGCTCCCCTCTCTCAGGCCTGGTCAGGATGTGCATCCCCAGAAACGATTAGTCTCCACTAACTGCTCTAGCTCAGGAGCCAGAGTCCCCCACCGGAGCTCTGCCACCCAAAAGCACCACAGTCAAAACCACGCACTGAAATGGAAAGGAGGGGCAAGGCTGAGTGGTTGCCACGGCAACAGCTCCTTCTCTACCACAGAAGTAAAAAGAATAGGAAACTCGGGAGTTGTGTGATTCATAAATTGCAAAGAGCATGTGTGCTTGAACTAAAATAGTTCAAAAGTGAGGGAGGGGAACGCGGAGACAATGGGAGATGCAAACCCAGGCCCCTGGGTACTCCAGAGCAGTCACTGGTGCCACCTCAGCAGAGTGAAGTCTGCCTATCAGCTTGCCACTAAAGTCCCATTAAAGTCACCCGGATCAATAGCACGGAATGCAGGCCCCACCTATAACACAGTGATGCAGGCCCTTCTGCCTGCCTTACCCATCGACCCTAATTTTAAAGACGGTCTTCGAATACCTTGGGGCTTGATATTGCCTTTCAGTACCATAAGAACAGAAGCCTCCCTGAGGGCCAGGGCTTTGATTCTCTTACCCACTGCCCAACATCTGCAACCCAACACAGAGGCTGCTGTTGTCAAGCTAACCGTGACAGAACGGTGATGGGCCAGGCCTCAGCACTAGCTAAGGCCTCGTCGCCATGGTCTTCCAGGCTGTTGATCGACTCTCTTTCCAGGAATTGATCCTATAGAAGTAATTGCCACGGTGCACGCGTATTTAACAACCACAAGACGTGAGCTAGTACTATATTCTGAGCACGTTGCTTACTAACCCTTAGCAATCCAGCAAGAGTGAGCAGGCCACTCACCCACCATTAACAATGTAGCAAGAGTGGTGTTATTAGCCGCCCTTCACGGCTGACAAAAGGGAGATCAGGGAGAGTAAATTGCCCAAGGCCACGTGGTTAGTATGAGCTAGAACCAGTACCGGAACCAAGTCTGTGCTTGTGAGAGGGACACGCCAATGGAAAGCCAACCACTGAGAGTGCATTTTCCCATGCGGCATGAGGAATGGTGACATCCATCAGCAGGGGACTGACTTTTACTATAATATGCCAAAAGTGGGATGCTGTCTATCCATGTGATTCATGTTAGAGACAGCAACATAGGAAAAAATGGTTCAGTGATAGGACTATGAGAGAAGCCAAAGAAGAGAAAGCGATTCCCCAAAGCTCTACCGATAGGTCGTTAACAAAATTCTATGTGACTTTTTAAAACATTTAACCTTTATTCTTATTTTATGTACGTGGGTATTTTGACTGGATGTATATCTAAGCAGTATGCATGCAGTGCGTGCCTGTCGCAGCCAAAAGAGGGTGTCAGACCCTGAAAATGGAATTACAAATGGTTGTGAGCTTGGATTTGAACTCTGGTCCTCTGCAAGAGCAGCCAGGGCTCTAAACCACTGAGCCACCTCTGTTGGTGATTTTCTGATCATCTACCTTCTCTAGATGTTCTGCTGCAATAACTACAGCGCAGAAAGGAAGACAGAGACAGAGGGCAGGCGCAGCTCATGCCAACACCCAAACTAAAAGTTTCAGATATAGACAGAATGTGGTCCATGTGAACAAAGCAGAAAGAGGACGGACGAGAGTATTCATTTAAACCTCAGCAAAGGATGTGGTTCTCAGACCAATGTTTTCCCAAACACTAACCCGAGTCTAAGTCTCAGGTACGTGTGAGAATCTTTAGTCGGCCACAGCAGAGCCTTCAATATGCCTACGTGCATTCTCAAGGCCAACCGAGTTCAAGTACAAGACTCCGTTTTTCCACGGTGTCTAGAAGGAGCTGGCGTTCCTCGGACGTCAGCAGTGCCAAGCCCTAAAAGGCGAAGGAACAGTACGACTCCTAGGCAGAGGCAGACCCAAGCCAAGCAGACACTCTTGGAGAAAGAAGTGAAATCCAGGAACCAACAGGTACACCAGGGTGACTTCTAAATCTAAAAGGAAGGGGTGTCATAGCCGGGGGTGAGGAGGGAGAATCTGCACAGGAAAACTCAGGCCTGGGGAGAAAACCCCACTTACTTAATCTGTGCCCTGAGGGGCTAAACGTGGAGCTCCAACAGTGTCTAGGAAAGACCACAAAGATTCTTCAGGGTCCGTGTGCATGGCCTCCATCCTAGCGCCTACGTTCCCAGACTTTCCAGGGAATCTGGCGGGAGGCCTAAGCAAATTGAACAATATGCCATGTGTTGCTTAATTTAATTTTGTGGGTCTGGGTGTGTGTGTGTGCACGCACGCGTGCGCTAAGTACTGGCCATGCAGAAAGGAGAACTGAGAAAACAAACAGAGAGTGAGAACTTCAGGACTGGCAAGGTGGCTCACTGGATACGGAGCTTGCCGTGTAACCCTGACAACCTGAGTTCAATCCCCGAGCCCAGCTAAAGGGGAAAGGAGAGAACTGGCTGAGAGTTGTCCTCTGCCTCCCAAATACACACTGTGACACCCTCACACCCACACACAGACACACATATACACACAGATGCACACTGTAGTACAAACACGTTCCTGCACACAGACACATACAGACGCGTGATGTGACACACACACGTGTACACACACACATACAATGATAGTAAAGTTCAAAAGATTTCCTAAAGGAATCAAATAGAGCGTCTGTTTAAATATGGTCCATCCCCCATGCGGCATACACTTCTCAGCCTTGTGCTGCTCCCTCTGCCCACCCCCCTTTGTGTCTTTAACTCTTCCTTGGCCTTCAACACTCAGCTCAAGTGTCTCCTGCATGCCCAAAGTTCATTTTCATGCTTGTTTCTGCTCCACCCTTTAGAAAACAAATATAAGTGTGTTCACCTGCGGCTGTCGGGCCTGGTACATCCTACATCCGAGCACACTTGCTCTAAGAGGCTCTTTTCAATAACTCTTCAAACTCCTGACCTTGTGGCTCCTACCCGCTCCTCCCAGGGCCTGGGCAGTAGCTGAGAAAGGCTTTGTACCAGAGAACACGTCCAGTGCCCAGAACCCATCTCGCACCATGCTTGCCAAACATGTACACTGGCCTTACAAATAGCCCTCCTGCCCTCACCATCCAACTTGGGGGGATTAGATGCACTTTCACCCCACGTCTTTACAGAGTAGACATACGTTTCAGGAGAGGCGCATTCTGCCACTTGTGTGGCAGCCTTCCCAAGCCGAACTCCGTCCGAGAGACGAGAGGGAGGGAGCTAAACAGTGTGCCATCTGCTATCACATCTGCCCTGTGTGTCAGTGAGTGGTCACCCCAATGTCAGCTCCCAGGCTAGGCCACAGACCTGCTCTACCCACAAATGAATGCCCCCTGTGATTAATCACTGAAATGTAGGTATTGAATAATTATAAAGGGGAGGCTTCAGTCTCGGAATCTGAAGCGGGACCAGAGCGAGAGTGGACCATGAAGCTGGAACCCAGTAGGTGGTGTGCCCCAACGTCTGTTCTCGGCCCCTAGCGGAGCTCACCCTTCGGGTTCCATCTCAAAGGGCACAGGGAGGGTAGGAAAGTACCTTCGAAGCTCATTCATGACCTTGAAGGCCTTTCCCATGTGGGCAGGGTTGACAGTGACCGTCCTCCGGCTCTCCTCATCATCCTGGGCCTGCACCGTGGACTGAGGGCTCAGCTTGACGCTGTGAGCGGAAGATGGAGGGAAAGAGAGGTCACATATTAGCAAGCACAGTTGTCGACCCCATGAGTCGACGGACGTGAGCCACCCACGAGGGGCGACTCCCAAGACAGCAGTGGAGGAAATACTGCCCCATTTCTGCAGGACCTTCCAGGGCACAGCACTTTTCTCTGGAGGAAGCCAGGCTCCTGCTCAGATTCTCCCACCAGGCACTGCGACTTTGTGCGACTTTGTGAGAAGTCTTTTCCCTCCACTCTGCCCTCCCTCCCTCCCAGAGAAGGAGCCAGCATAAGCCTTCTAACACTCTCTATGGAGACGTGGATCCACTTAGCAGTTAACGGAGGCTAATATATGACAGGGACAGGTATTATATTTCAGTTTGTGGGAAACAAGATGGTAACAAAGGCCTGTCCCTCCCAACACAAAATTCCGAGTTCAGTGAGGGGGAAAACCAAGTAACAGTCAAGCATCATATTTTTTAAAGATTTATTTATTCATGTATTTTATGTATATGAGTGTTCTGTCTTCATGCACACCAGAAGAAAAAATCTGATCCCATTACAGATGGCTGTGAACCACCATGTGGGTGCTGGGAATTGAACCCAGGACCCCTGGAAGAACAGTCAGTGCTCTTAGCTGCTGAGCCATCTCTCCAGCCCGCAAACATCACATTTTAAGCATTACAGTTCCATAGGAACTACAGAAGCACAAGGGACCTATTCAGTGATGCCAGGGTAGAAAACACCTCCCAAAAGTAAAGGCCTGGCAGCAGAACTTAAGGAAGCCAGGAACTTAAAAAGGCAGACAGCGTCCCAGACAATGGGAACAGCAGGCAAGACCAAAGGGGAAAAGATCAAGTGTGTTCAAAACATCCATGGTTCAGGGAAACGAGGCCATAGGAGGCAATGTTAGTTGGGGGAATTGTCCTCCTGAACAAGGGGAGGGCAGGAATGGGTTAAACCGGAAGCAAATGATCACACCTATAATCTAGAAAACCCACAATGGCTTGAGTTTAGAGAACAGGAACTCACAAGTGAAAACATTTGGGAAACCACCATTCTATTGAAGGAGCAGCCGTTAAGAGCACTGGCTGCTCTTCCAGAGGACTTGAGTTCGATTCCCAGCACCCCATGGTGGCTCACAACTGCGTGTAACTGCCGTTCTAAAGGATCAGAGCCCTCTTCTGGCCTCCGCAAGCACGCACAGTACACAGACATGCATGCAGGCAAAATACCCATCTGCATAAAGCAAAGTAAAGTAAGAATTCTAAAAGGAGAAATAGGAGCCTGAAGTTGTGGGAAGCACAGACTGTGAGGCCTGTGTGAACAGGCACAACCTCATAACTCATTGTCTCAACACTGCTTGCACGAAAATCAAGGTATAAAACTTTTGAATATGTTGCAGTGTCCTGGGAGTAGGAAGGGGGACTCGCAAGATGACTAAGGGAAGGCTCTCTCCTCAGACAGGAGCTCCAGAGTCAAACCCAGAACCTTGGAGGGAACTGCTTAGGCCAGACTCCACTCTGTGAGCGGGGAAAACAGAAACGCCCCCCTTTGTGCAGAGTTGGGAGCCTACAGTTCATCCGGCCCCCAGACCTTGAAGGTGGTCCTTAGGACGTGACTTTGAAGGTGGTCCTTAGACGTGACCTTGAAGGTGGTCCTTAGGACATCCCCATCAAGTTCTATCTGCTGCTGCCTCCCTCACTTTGCAAACTGCTGAAGACAGAGATGCTTTATACGAGGGTTACCAAAGTCCTGGGAGTCTTAGAGTTCATGCTGGTACTCGTCACTACCTGAAATCCCAGACCCATGGCTTGTCTGATCCCCCTGCCTTTGGGTCCTACCTTCCTGGCTTTCCTGACCTCTCCTCCCTTCACTTAAACCTGACCATGAGCTCTGGGGCTGTTTGGAGTCCTTGAACAAGGAAATCAACTCAACAGAGGAAGATAAATATGGAGAAACACAAAGACGATTATAAATATATATTCAAGCAGGTTAAAAAAATATCCTAAAAGACTGGAGAAATGGCTCCCTCAGAGGACCGGGGTTTGAGTCCCTGAACCTATGTGGCAGCTGCCTCTAACTTCAGTCCCAGGAGATTTGACACTGTCTTCTGGCCTCTGCCAGTATCAGGCACACATGTGGTACAGGGACGCATGCACACAAATGATGTGGGAGGGCCTCCTGTATATGTGTTGCTTTTATTGGTTAATGAATAAAGCTGTTTCAGCCAATGGCTTAGCAGAGTAAAGTCAGGCAGGAAATTTGAACAGAGATATAGAGAGAGTAGGCGGAGTCAAGGAGATGCCATGTAGCTGCCGAAGGAGAGAGACGTGAGGGAAACTTACCGGTAGGCCACAGCGTCGTGGCAGTACACAGATTAATAGAAATGGGTTGATTTAAGATGTAAGAGTTAGTTAATAAGACGTCTGAGCTAATAGGCCAAATAATGTTGTAATTAATATAGTTTCCATGTGATTATTCATGTCTGAGTAGTTGGGAAATGAATGAGCAGTCTCTTTTTACACACGCACACACACACATCAAAATATATACAATTATAATCATATAATCTAATATATAATATATATATATTAGAATATCAAGTCAGAAAATGTGGCCAGAGAGAGGAAGCACCCACAAAGATAAAAAGTTTGCATCCCAAGGTAGGAAGGTAAAATTGCAATCTTTTACTTTTGATATGTAACCTTTCGTCTATTAGCTACTAAGTTTTATAACACAATGTCAAAAGGAAATTCAAATTTTCCAATGAGTTCTACTCTCTGATCCTTATTTTTCCCATTCCCTGTCATGCCACCATAGTTCACAAGACTTCACATACACAGTGATCTATTTCTGTCAGTTTATACAAATACATTATTTCTGTAGCTTCACTATGTCTGATTTTTGACAGGCAGGCTAAGTCCTCAAGCCTTTGGCTGTTCTTGAGAAATCACCTTGTATGTCCCATCTAATCCTTTCTTCTTTCTACAAACCAGCTTCTCAAGTTCCAGGGGACGCCCGGCAGGCCTTTGAGAGAGACCTCATTATAGATCAATTTAGGTTGAATCAACATTTCTTTTAAGTTATTTCTCCCTACCCATGAACATGGGCTATCTTCTGTTTATCTAGGCCCTTTAAATGTTTTATTTATTTATTTATTTATTTATTTATTTATTTATTTATTATGTGCATGTGTGTGTACCTGAATGTACATATGTGCACTACATGCATGCAGGAGCCAACAGAGGCCAGAAGCAGATTTCAGCCCCCAGAACTAGAAATACACAGGCACATGAGTGACACTAAAAAGGACCAATGAGCTGGAGAGATGGCTCAGTGGTTAAGAGTGTTTACTGCTCTTTCACAGGCCTGGAATTCAGTCCCCGGCACTCACGAAGCCTCTCATAACCGACTGCAAGACAATCTGAAGATCTTATACACACATCATGCTTGATTTTGTCCTAAGTATATTACAGTTTTTCTTATTATTTTATGATAGAAATTGTCCTTTATAGCTGGGTAGTGGTGGCTCACATCTTTAGTCCCGGTACTTAGAGGCAGAAGCAGGCGAATCTCAGAGTTCAAGGCCAGCCTGGTCTACAGAGTGAGCTGCAGGATAGCCAGGGCTACACAGAGAAACCTTGTCTCAGAAAGAAGGAAGGAAGGAAGGAAGGAAGGAAGGAAGGAAGGAAGGAAGGAAGGAAAGAAGGACAGAGAAAGACAGAGAGAATGTTCTTTTTAGAGTATATTTGCTGATTGTTGCAATTTATGAAATATAATTACATTTACAAATTGATTTTCTAGCCAGCATCCATACCAAACGATCTCATTGTATCAAATTATTTGCCATTGATTCAATTAAATGTTATTTATAGATAAACTTTATATCATTAGTGTATAATACCAGAGATGATATTTCCATTCTCTCTCTCTGTGTCTTTCTGTCTGTCTATGTGTTGTGGGAACTCCTTCAGTCAAAAGCCTTTACGATATCTGCCCACTTGGGCGTGGTCTCTTATACTATAAATGCAGATGTACACCACCTCTCTTGGCTGCTGGATTTGGGTCCTATTCCTGGCTCGTGCAGAGGACTGCTGATCTGAGTCTACCCCTAAATAAAGAACCCTTTATTATCCTCCATTCTGAGCTAGTGTGGGACTATTTTATTATAATCATCTACATCTCTATGTGTGCATGCATGCATGTGTGTGTGCGTGTGTGTATTTGTGTGTGTTTGTATGTATGATTCTCCTGCCTCGACTTCCTGAGTAGCTGGGAGAATGGGCCTGTGCCACTAAGCCTAGTGTCTACATTTTAAAATTATTTTAGGCTTATGGGTAGGGCATTTTGTCTGCATGTACATCTGTGTACTGCAAACTTGTACCTGGTGCCTGTCGAGGCCAGAAGAGGGTATCTCATGCCCCAGAACTGGACTCATGTTTGTGAACCAACACACAGGGTGTTGAAATCAAAACCCAGATTCTCCAGAAGAGCAGCCAGGGCTTTTAATTACTGAGCCGTCTCTCCAGCCCCTCAAGTTTTTTTTTTTTTAACCAGGTTGAATACATAATTCTAATCATCTTTGTGCATCTCCTTACGGAAAGAAATTTTGTGCTGGCTAAGATGATAAACTAATGCCAAAGAGAGAGCAATCATGAATTCCTGCCATAGTCCTGATTTCAAAGGTGTCCTAATGTTTCCCATTGCATATGCTTACTACGGGATTTTACTACAGGCATTTTATGGAGTTAAGGAAACTCCCAAGTTGGGTGTGGTGGCAATTGTCCATAATCCCATCATAGACGGAAGCAAGAAGATTGTGAGTTCAAGGTCAGCCTGGGCCACACAGTGAGTTCCAAGCCAGCCTGGACTAGATAGGGAGACCCTGTGTCAAAAGTGGAAGGGAAGAGGAGAGGACAGTGATGAGGTGGGGAGAAGAACAGAGGGGGTGGGAGCAGAGGGGAAAGGAGTGGAGGAGAGAGGAGGATTCGCTTCTGTTTTC